TTATGGACCTAAAATTATTTTTTGTTTGTCTGCAAGTTTAAGTCTAATTGGCATCAAATTACGGAGTTTTTCTTAAATTCCCTTTGAAGGAGCAAATAAAGGGACTGCACTGATCGATGCTATTCTAGTAGGGCTAGGGCTACGATGTAACTGCTGGAAGTTTCATTTCATGGTTTCTGAACCGAGGTGCCTCGAACCTGGAAACTAAGGTACATCGTTTTCCTGCAAGACATTTTCTTCTTTGTAAATGGTAGTGAGGTGTGTGCTTATTTTGCCCTATCTGTTAAAATATAGTTGCTTTTCCTGTTTAAAAGCAGATGATAAGTAGTGGAGAAAAGTAGGGTGGAGATTAATAATGCAATTAGAGAACAGAATTATATAGGAAAAGAATTGTAGGAGTTAGCTTACTTCTCAGTGGATGCGATGTGTTTCTTTTGTGTTTGACTACATCTTTTTCTGAGATTTGGCTTTGCTTCTGTCTCTTTTAAGAGGCCACCATGCTGCTTTAATGTGCAGCAGTTTCTTTTCTATTAACAAAATCTTTTAAAGGAGAGAGTTGGTTCATGAAAATGACAAGTGTCAGCATGCTAGATACTCAACATCTTTGCCGATTGTAAATCCTAACCTAGAGGTAAGGGAACGCAATCTTTGCAAGGCTGCTAGTGCTGTCTCGGGCAAAGAATTCCAGTGTGCTTCCTTCTGCCCTCTTTGGTTTTGCTGTGAGGTGATTCAAGCTCTTCARCTGGGATCCACATCACAGTCTTTGGACACCTCTGCCTGGAGGGCTCTGCACTAGTAGCATGCCATTAGGCAAAGTATGTGTAGAAAGTGATTTCCAATTCTTTCCCTTTCTCCTTTGTTAAATATGAAAGTGTGAGAATAACATTGTCTCTTACATAGAAATCACCTTTTTTAATTCAGAATTCTTCAAAACACTGCTTGCTTTTTTTTTTTTTTTTCAACTTTAAATTTTAATGATGCTTCTTTAATGTTTGGCACTCTTTAAGACATATTTTGTTCTGCAAAATAAATGCCTAGATATCAAATTCCCTGAAGTTTATCCATTTGCTGAACAGAAACAGCATAAGGGACCACACGGAGCATTTGGTTGGTGTTATTTTAAATATTCTAGTTCTTTTCATTGACATAGTGATTTACATCTTATCTGCGAACCCTGCCCAGTCAACAGCATGGAATTCCGTTTATCCAGCTTGGCAAGATAAAGGTCTGAGGTGACGCTGCAAGGATTTAGGCTGATCCCGCGAGGCGCTCCTCGGTAGTCATGCGAGGAGAAGCCTTGAACCGTTCCTTCCGGGGCTCTTTCATCTCCAGCGTTTGGGATTGCTGCATGCCTTCCCCTTGAATCACGCTTTGTTAGTTTACCTTAAACAATTTCCTCTTTAATCCTAYGTGGATTTGTATTTTTTGTTAGTTTACTCATTTTTTAAATGAGATTGCTGTTTGTGAAACAGGCAAGGTTGTTTGTTACTGGCTGGTTTGAGATAATAAGCTTGCATCATGCTGCTTTTTTCATGCATTTTTCTCCAAAATATATATATATATTTAATTATTTTCAAAGATCTTTTCCCCAAGACTTTTAAAGCTTTTTTTTTCCTAATCTGTTTATTTGCTTGCAGTTTAATTTTCCAGAGTCTGTGGGTTACAGACTTATCCAGAGGAATAGGTCCTTCTTGGTGGTATAATTAAATAACTTCATTAGATATCCTTGACAAAAAAATATTTTGTGACATGCTTCTCCAAAATGGTGTGTGTACCCTGTCCTAAGGGTTTGGGGATCTTTCTAGGTGTTTCTTGTGTTTCTTTCCTCCTTTATTGATTAATCTTTCAGGAATTTCAGCACCACCTTGGTAGTGGTAACCTGCACAGGCTGTTGCTTTTGAGAGTCAAGYTGATTTTTGTTGCTGCAACGAATAAGCACACTACTATTCAAGTGTCCTGTCACTCTCAAATTCTTTTTAGAACATACTTTCTTACTTAGATTTCTTTAAAAAACAGCCCTGATTGTTTTCTGTGTTACACTGCAGAGCATGTGCTGCAGTGTTGGAGCGCCCAGTCATTCCTCTCAATGTCGCATCTGACAGTTCATCTAAGATCCATTTTGTCACCTTTTCAGCATTCTGTTTTTAAGGTACTGTGGAAGGTGGCACAATATTGTGCAAGACAAGTGAACATCTTTAACCTTTCCTTGCTACGACACATTCTCTGTGGCAGATGTTGACGCCTCAGTCTGCTGGATGGTGTCTGCAGCAAAGCGCAACTTGGTCCTGGGTCTTGGCTCCAGTTAAGCACTGTGTTTGGCACTGGACTTCAAAAAGCCTGGCTTCAGCTTACCAGGGGCTAATGCTCTGTTTAATCTTTAAGCAAAATATTCACTTATTAGTGAAAAATACCGTTTCGCCTTGCTGTGTGCAGTGCATGACTTAAGACCAGACAGGAGGAAAAAAATGGAATGAAATACCTGGTACCCAGTTGTAGTTAAGAACTTCATGTGACTCGAGTTCAAGTCCTCCAGTGGATGGTAGCAACTTCATTACACAATAACTAAAAATACTCTCAAATGCAGGAAGGTTTACATCATTTTGTRCTAAAGAATAACCTGAGTTAGTGCAGAGAAGCCAAGATTTAATATTTTCTTTACTCCTGTAGAATGGAGTTGATGGTGATAGGGGTTAAACACTGAAGATGCTGCAGAATGCTGTGACCTGAATTCAAGATCAACCGAGGCTAAATTTCTGGCTTCTAGCCGTGGATTGAAGGAAAAAAACGTTATTTGATTCATCTCCTTGTGTGACTAGTCACATAAAATTTCAGAATATTGTTACAAAATGTAAAGGCTTGTAGTTTAGTATCAGCAGAGTTCTGTTTCAGTGGAGAAAATCAGTTCTCTCAAACATCTACCAAGTTCATCTCCCTCTGAAAAAAAAAAAAAAAACCACTTTTGTGATTGAAGGAGAACATGTTGCATCTCCAGAGTGGTGTTTCTCTTAATGACTGCTCGTAAGAGATYGGCTTGATACTTCTTAGTGCATCAAATAAAAGAAAATATTAAACGGACATCTCGGGCAAACAGTTACAGAGCAGAATTCCTCAGCTCAAGAGCGCTGAAGCCAAACGTTTCTTGGCTTTCCAGCTACATTCCTTTTTCAGTATGTGCTCAGAATAACTTGGGACTTTTTGGAACGTAAGTGGGACAAACTTTTGAAAGTAGACATGAAAATGTGTGCTTAGTTTAGGTATTCAGCTACAGCTGTTGAAACGCGTTGGGTTTTGTTGGAGTTGCTCTATGTTAGTGGGCTGTAGTTTTTTTTCTGATTCAAATTATCCCAAAAGCTTCTCTTGCTTAAATAAAAGCAAATGCTCTTAATTAAGCCCCTGTTCATTTTGAGTGTTGTGTTTGCCTGGGGAGAGGAGAAAAGTTATTGGAGAAGCTCGTATTAAAGTGTAAATGCATTTTAACGCCTTGTCTGTGCTGTGATGACAAGCAGCTGCATCCAGTGAGTCTTGGTTACATGGCTTTATTCTTTTATTTAAAGGCTTCCTCAGTTCATATAAAACAAGGTTGCTGGCAGTGTATGTCACGTTGAGGCAGCCCTGCTCTCTGGTTTGCAGGGCAGAAGTGCTGAATAAAAGATGAAGGGTGAGGAAAGCTGATCTCCCAGCCGTGCGCTGGCTCCCGCAAGCGAAGCTGGTGCGAGTACAGCAGGCTGAGGACACGCTCYGTGCGTCACATCCACATCCACCTTCTCTCACAGCAGCAACGTGAACGGGTGCTGCAAAGCGACTCAAAGCTTCATGCCTTTCGGGCCTTGTGCTTTGTCAAATGCCCACATTCCCACTTTTACCTTAAAAGCGGTTGCTTTTCCATCAGAATGAGACAAAACTGACGCTTTCTGGACAAGGACATGCACGCTTGTGTTGTTGCTGCAGCATAACTCATGTACTTTTATTTAAATAACATTACTGAAGGCACTATAAATTTTAGCCTGAGGTCAGTTCTGAAGAAATAATTTCTGTTTCAAAGCAAGAATCGGCATGGGCAGGACAAAAGTTTTATTTAAATGGGTTGAAGTTTGGTAGCTTTCAGTATTGTTTTTTGAGGGAAGCAGGCTCCCGAGTGAGCAATAGTTCTTAATGTTCATGTGTTATAAGGTAGGAACACATTCATTTGAATTCTTGAATTCACAGAACTCTTCAGACTGTTGTATGTACTAGAGAAGGCTGTGGTTTTAGCTACTCTAATGCAGAATGTCCCGTTTTAACCAAACTTTGACCCAGCTTTCTGCTTTGGGTCTTAGTGTGCATCTCTAACGTGCTGGTGGCGAGGAGCTTGGGCTGATTTCTGACTGTGTCCCCCGAGAAGTCGCTCGGTAGCGACGGTCGTGTGTGCACGTCACTTCTTCAGACACTGCATGTCATGTGCCAGCTGCCGGGACAATCTGGTATTGTTCATCTGCTCAAAAGTTTTACGTAACTTTCCCGACATAAAGAAGGCAATTTGCACTTGAGCAAAAAGGCCACTTCTTTTCTGCTTGCAAATCGTCATTAATGAAACTGGTGAAGAGTTGAAGAAGAATAGCTATGTACTCAGGGCATCAAAGTTGGGTTTTTACAGCAAGGTTTAAGGTTTTATGAGTGTGTGAAGCTTGTTCCCTAAAAACTAAAGTTTTCCAGCTCAGCAATGCAAACTTCATTGTCAGAGAGCTCTCGTGAGACGATGCTATCACTGGGTGTCCTGGAGTGCCTTTCTGGTACTGCTGTTATGCAATGGACTTTTGTTGTGACAGGACAAAGACTTATTGATAAATTGCCTATAAAAAGTGGCTTTGGAATGTTGCTGCATTGTCCGTTAAATCCCTGTGTACTTACAATTATGTCTTTCCTTGCAACACCTGCGATGYGATAAGGCCTCAAGTTGTGGGCGCCTGAGTGCAGAGCTGCGCGCCGCGTGTCTCACCCAGGGCCTCTGTGCTCTCTTGCAGGCCGGCAGCGACGGGGAGAGCATAGGAAACTGCCCCTTTTCGCAGAGGCTCTTCATGATCCTTTGGCTGAAGGGAGTGGTCTTTAGTGTCACAACGGTTGACCTGAAGAGGTAAGGAATCCTTGGGTTTTTTTTGGTGTTTCTTATTCTTTTTTTTTCAGAGAAGCAAAAGTGCAATGTTTGCTGTAACAAAAGATCCTCCGCGGTTTCTGTGTCCTACGTGATTTGTTTTGTGAAGTTTCAGAATACCAGGAGGAGGCTGCGTTTACAGCAGTGCTGCCTTCATTGATGGCTGCTTGTAAATGCCTGTAACCAAAGAGACTTTGTTCTCTCAGGAATCTCGATTTCCCAACTCTGAGTGTACTCTATTAAAAGTGGAAACGTTAAATTCAGCAGAGCCCTTGTGTTTGTTTTCAGTATGAAGTAATGTTTTCACACCACTGGTGCAGTGTTAATCACTTAACTCTCTGGAGAAAGGGGAGACTGTTAGTGCTTCCAAGCCTTCTTTTTTTCAGAAATAAAGCCAATAGAAATATACAGCATTCTTCAAAGAATGAAACTAGTTAAATGTGTAAAGCAGTAATTACATTTGCTAGACTTAACCCRCTTTGTAACTTTTCTTACTTGCATGTTTTCATTTTTTTTCCTTTAAGAAAGGAACCTCACTGCCCCTCATCCCTTTGACTYGAACAATCTTGTTTTTCAGCTGACAGATGTTACCTAATTCCATGCTGCTTACTTCAACGCTGGCAGCTACTGTATATATTTACATGTGTAATATGGCCGAGGCAGAGGGGAAGAAAGCAGCCTTTGTGCAGCGGCCATGCGTTCGTAGCAGCTTAAGGCTTTTCTCTGGCCTGTGTGGGATCTTACTGCAAATATAATTGTTGCTGCCACACAAACCATACGCGTCCTCCACCTAGCACTGCCTGTGGTTTGGAGCTTGTGCTTAAGCAGTGCTTGTAGTTGTGGATTTTGCTTTTAATGATGCCATGTTTAACCTCTTTAACCTATTGCTGCCCTCTCGGAGGCTGGGGAAGAAGGAAAGGTGGCAGGAACCATTTTTTATTTAGAAGTGTTAGTGCTGATGAACCACTCTAAGAAGTATCATAAAAATGCCAAGAGTTTCTGTTGAATTGGCCTTACTTTTATTCTTTTAAYACCTTGGAGTTTTTTTCTTGTGTCTAATATAAAAAAGACACAATTAGACCAGAAAAGTGGATTCTAGTGTTTTTATGCATCTCARTTTATTTTGCTAGCCAAAAAAGCGTGCGTTTACTTGCAAAGCATGCTCCTGCCTCGTAGATGGTGCAAGTTCTCTATAACAAAAAGACAAGTTTTGGCTGTTTTTGACACTCAAAAGGTTGTGGCTGGGTACAAAAGTTCACGAGTAACTTGGGACCCACRGAAAAACTGTATTTAACTTCATTGCCTTTCAATGACACATTTTTCCTTTCCGTAGTTGCGTTAAACCTAGTAATATGCTACCAAAAGAACATTTAGCAGATCTCAGTTCTACTTTTAATGACTTTGGACATGAAATGTGCACGCAGGAAAACTAAGCGGGCCGCTGCCCTTTCAGAGCAGTCGTGCCGTCGTGGCCTGCGTGCGGGCGCACGGAGACCTTATTCTYGCCCGTGCTGCGGCAGCGTTGCCGCGTGCGGAGCTGCCCCTTGCTCGGGCGACACGTGCACACGTCCGGCACCCCGGCCCTTTGGTGGCCTCAAGGCCAGCGTTCAGCTGCACTTGGAAATCACAGAATGTTCAAGGTTGGAAGGCACCTCTCGAGATCATCCAGTCCAACCTTCCCRCTCAAGCAGGGATACCCAGAGCACAGGGTGGCATCTGGGCGGGTTTTGGAGACCTCCAGAGAAGGAGACTCCACAGCCTCCCTGGGCAGCCTGTGCCAGGGCTCTGGCACCCTCACAGTGCAGAAGTTCYTCCTCACCTGGAGATGGAAGTTCCTGCATTTCAACTTATACCCATTTCCCCTTGTCCTGTCACTGGCCACCAATGAGAAGAGCTTGGTCCCTTCTTCCTRCRTTCTCCCTTCCTGAACTTATCCATGTTAATCAGATTCCCTCTCAGCCTTCTCTTCTCCAAGCTGAACAGGCCCAACTCAGTCTCTCCTTATACGAGAGGTGTCCCAGTCCCTTAATCATCTTTGTTGCTCTCCGCTGGACCCTCTCTAGAAGCTCCACGTCCCTCTTATRCTGGGGAGCCCAGAACTGCACCCAGTACTCCACGTGAAATGCGGTTTTGATCATTTTGATCGTGTGGTTTAACAATTATGTTGAAAGATGCAGACAAAGAAAGAAAGACAAAGGGATCAGTGAGTATAAAAGACTGCCTAGTGGTGAATGCAACTTCACTTTAGGGACAGGGACAGGGCCTTTTTTGCTGCTAGCCGTTTTTCTTCACGTTATTCTCCCAACCCTCATTGCAGTGTGGATGTAACTCATGTATCGTTGCAGAGTGTATTGCTTCTTGAGGCTGCTTTTGTGTGATCTTCTAGAAATTACTTGAACRCTAATTGCTCTTGTGCTTTGGGCCAGAGCCATAGTATGCTTATGGCTTGACTCGGATGTTAAGCAGTTTCCCCTTGAATTMACTAGCAATATGCCAAAATAGCCAGATATTTCACACGTGGTTCTGTCACCAACTACACCGTAAATATAGGGACTGTTACGACACACACGTGACCAACGCATGGAAGTGTCTTGAGTGGTTGAAGAAGGGAGGGCTTTGTTTGTTTTACCTGTCTTTTTAATTTTATACTGCCCAATTTCACTCCAGGGGTTGTTCATGATCTACTGGCAAGGGAGACAAACTGGGGTTAGTTCTAATTAATTAGAATTAGTAAGATAATTTCTAGAATTATTATTCATTTATGAACAATGCAGGTGACCCAACTGGAATGACCAGAGGGGTTAATGGAAGAGCTCTGGTTCTTTGGGAGTCTCTCTTTGGGTATTTCATTAAACTTCTCTGTTTCTGAAATCAAATCTTCCCTTTGACTGCATCGCTGCAAATCCGGTGGTCTTGCCTCCTGGGTTTGTTTGTAAAAGAGCATTCCTGAAGAGGAATTTTATCTATTCGACATGCAGAACTGGAAGGGAGCCACAATGACTTCCTGTAATTGTTGGGGTTGCAAAGCTGTATTTAAATGAAGTGTTAAGCTGCTTAAAGCATTAACTGATGACAGACTTTAAATCYTAAAAGTAAGCGAGTGATGGCTATTTAGTGAAAAATGACTTTGGGGAAGCCTAGAAGTGGGTTGAAAATACTACATTGAYAAATAAGAATAATAAAAAAGTTAATATCTAACATCTGTCACCTTCCTAAAAATATTTTCCTTAATATTCCTGAACAAAAACCCATATTCTCATTTAGCTTTATGTAGTCATCCAAGTTGTCATATGTCATAATTGCTCTTTGGGACTAGATACTGATAAGCTGCTGCTGTCCTCCCTCTTCCTTGCTTAAACAATCCATTTGTGATCAGGGAATGGGATCCTAGGAGGGATTCCTGGTTCTGGAAGTCCCACTGTAGGAAGCCTGGTGCAGGTTTAGAAACATGGCTGTGGGGGCTGCCGTTCAAGGGTTCTTTTCCCACTTGGGTTTGTTCAAACAGTAGCAAAGGGGTAACTTTATCTTGGCCAACTTCCTACCAGGTCAGATAGCGTCTGGTATTCCTCACTCAGTGGAAAAGATCTTGGAAAAATCAGGGCTGGAACAGCCGAGCTGTCATCTGTGGTCAGTAGCTTTATCGCAGGGAAGCTTTAGGGCTGCTCCTGAAGAAGGACCAAGTGGTGCCAGGATTTTATTTCTGCTTGAAGTGAGGCAGTTGCACTGGCATGGGAGGAACTCATATCATGGGGGTTTAGCAGGGARAAACTGACTGCAGCTTTTTAGGTGATGCTTAGGAGTTTATAGCTTGCAGTAAATCCACTTGCCGTTATTGGATTAACTTCAACTTTTTATCTGGTCCTACTGATGAAAGGAGCACGAGAGCTTTATGCTGCAGGACCTGGGGCATGGCCTGGGTGGGTGTATTCGTGCAGCCGGCGTGCAAGGTTTCACATAAATACCTGCAGTGTCGTTCCTTGTCAYTCTGGCATGAAGACCCGGGTAAAGGAAAGAGGATTCTCCTCCCCTTGCCAAGCATGCAGTGGAAAATTTACAGACTGAAGTTTTGATCTTGATTCTTTTTTTAATGTCATTTTTTTAAGCATCTGTCACCTTGCTTAGAAGCAGAGCCCATGCACACTTAATAAATGGTTTTTACGTTGTACTCACTTATTTCAAGAGAAACTCTGTGCAAGGGGTTAGGATTATCATCTAGATTATCTGAGATTATGCTATTTTTAAACTCTGTACCGTAGACCTTGACAGAGAGAGTGTGTGTCTAAAGGAGGGTGAAGTTTTATTGCCTCTAACTGCACTATTAAAGATTGAATTATCAGCTTGGGATAAAATGAAAAGAAAGGAAGAAGCAGCAGTTTTTAAACACTTGAACTTATTGAGGAAATATTAAAAATGCTGTGTGGTAAGGTTTTGAATTTCTGTTTATTTGAAATACCATGAAGAGAGAAAGAAACCTCAGGCCAGGGTCATGAAGGTCCCGTGCTTACTTTTGTATTGGTTTGTATTTCCCTGTAGAAAACCAGCAGACCTTCAGAACTTGGCTCCAGGCACTCATCCCCCCTTTATAACGTTCAACGGGGAAGTGAAAACAGACGTGAACAAGATTGAAGAGTTCCTGGAAGATGTTTTGTGTCCACCCAAGTAAGTGTTAAGATGATAATTGGGTTATTTGTTAAGTTTCATTTGATAGCCTTACCTTAGATTAGATGGTGTGTTTGGAGAGAGGTTAGCTGTGTTAATTAGGAAGTTCTTCAGTGTAGCCATTCTTGTAGAAAAACAGTAGTATTTTAGTAGTGAAGAACTGGTTGTATTTTTGTTCAGCGATATTTCTGGACACAACTTCATGTTTCATGTTAAATATTTCCCAGTATTCCTCGTGTAGCWTTCTATAAGTATATGGATGGTTGCTGATTGTACAAAACTAGTGATTGCTAAATGCAAATTGGAAGTAATCTTTTTAAAAATACAGCTCTTTCATACGAGGCATAATGGATGTACCCTGGAGATTGAGTCTTTAGTGTTTGGGAAATTATGATGGGAAATGTTGAACAGCGTTTGATATAATTAGACCACACAGTGCAAGCGTRGGATGTGCTCAAGTATTCTCTGAACTCTTGGCTTCCTTCTCCCTCAACTGGCAGGCACTGGCAAAGTGGAGGCACCACGTCTAGCAAACTGAACTGTTATTGGCTTTTTAGCGTGGTGAAACATTACTTTTTCRTTATAGGATTTGGGATCCATGATCATCTCGGGCAGCTGATTTTAATTTAAACAAACCAAAGGGCTCCCTGTGAACAGAACAAACGTAGCACAGTTGTTTGAGCTGTGGTCTTGTCTCCAGGACTGTGCTCTGCCCTTTGGCAGCTCTCAGTGCTGCAGGGAGGGAGGGAGCTGCTCTAACCATGGACTGTTTCAAAGACTCTGCTTGGACTGTATGCCTGATTTGCAAAGAAGAAATGTGCTTTGTTTTTCCCCTGAAAAATGATGCTGAAAGTGCTGGGTTTAAAAATCTTAAGCTTGGAGAGAATGTGTGATACTGCATGTGAGAAGCAAATCTTCCAAAGTAATCTGAAAGTTAATAAATCGATGATTTTTTTTTTTTTCATGCTAACAAATTATGTGATGATCGTTGTTTTCCCCAATGTACTATAGATTTGATCCTTTCTGCTTTTTAGGTACCTAAAGCTTTCACCAAAGCATCCGGAATCTAACACTGCTGGAATGGACATATTTGCCAAATTTTCTGCATTTATCAAAAATTCTAGACCAGAGGCCAATGAAGGTAGGTTATCTGGGGCCAATTGTGGTGTTGTCTCGTGTGGTCAATAGAGGTCTTGAGTGCTGCCTTTAGAGCTGCTCCTTGCATTTGGTTGGTTTTCTTTTCTGCTCCTATTTGCTCTTTCAAGGCTAGGGCAGAATATGCTAGTGTGTTCAGACCATGTTCTCACTTAAAGTAACTTCAGGTGAAAGTCCTCAAGAAGCTGTTCTATTAAGGAAAAATCCACAGATCTCTTTTGTAATACRTAAAGCAGTCTGGCAGTTTTAATGGCATGGACAGATATTCTGAARAACTCCTGAGGATTGTGTGTGTAGTAAAAACCAACACTATTTAGCCTGTCTTCCTCTGCTGTTATGGGACCAGCTAGGGGTAATAATTGCTTCTGAGCAGTTTTAAACAAATCTTGTTTTAAGCATCTTTAAACAAACCATGAAGATTCACTGTTCTGCAAGTGCTGTCACTGTTCATCTGGTGAATAACTCTGASCCACTCATCACTGCAGCACTTGAGAGTTGTAAGCGTGCAGAAAAACGTGTTATTAATGGCAGGTCGTGGGTCTTTTATTATCTAGATCAAAGTTTTCCTTTATGGGAACACGTAGCTTTTAATCCACTGGAGCAATAATAGGATGCAGGAATTATTAGTRTGCCCTGAGAGAGCAGTCATAAGATTCCAGCCACACGCCGGGAATGCTYGTCAGTCATTGCTGACTGCTGATCCCTAACTTCTGGGAATGGGAATGCGCTTTGAGAGGCCACCTTGGAAGAGATGCAGAGCTAATCCTGGAGGTTTGCTCCGCAAGGTGCTCACCTCCATCTTCAGTATTTTAGTCGCGTCTATCGAAATACTTGTTCCTAAATCTGTTAGCTGTTGAGAGCGACTTCAGTTTTCCCAGCTGTCGGACTCCTGAAATATTTGTATCCCTCCTTTTGGCAGAAGTCTTCAGTCTTCTGCCTTGGCCTTAATAGGTGCATGAGAGTAGGTGCATTCCCACGAAAGAGGCGCGTGTAGATCCTTAGTGAATTCTGAAGGGAAACACAGAGGCACTGCCCTAAAATGTTACTTATAAGTTGTGCAAGACAGTTGTCCTAACATAGGTTTATTGACAAGGCTTCTCTCGGTAGTCAAACTAGTTTTGCAAATATGCAGTACGGTGACTTTCTGCTGTTCTGRACTGCTCACTTTTTCCACTTTTGTTTTTCTAGCACGTTTTTCCTTTCCTTTCCAATCTTGCAGTAAGGAGCATTGCGCTTCTGTGAACACACAGCACTTGATAGTTGAAAAAGGCCGTTAATACCGGTCACTAATAACGCTTGTAGCTCTCAGCAACAAGCTTGATTCAAAGTCCAGGCTGGGAAGGCGCTTTCCGTCTGTTCTCTGTGCTGCTCTCGGTTTCACCTTAGGTTTCCCCGCACAGGGCGCTGCAAGAAGCCTCGTTAATCTGAGTCTGTCGTGCAGCAAGTGGGTTTTAAGTCATTTAGCACAAATCTTCCACTCTGCAGGCTCCAGAGTCACGGTCTCGATGCCTTTCTGCAGTATTTCAAAGGGAGGAAGCAGAACACTTGCAAATAGTAAAATTCTCCCCGAATGTTCTTCCATTCCGTGGGGTTTGCTGCCCTCTGCCGTTCCAGTTACCCTCYTCAGGCGTAATCCGCACGTTCAGTTGTGCCAGTTTAGCTGGACACGTGACTTAAACAGCTTAAGTTTAAGTGAATGCAGCCCTTGGGATAGCTTAATTCTCGTTAGCTTAAGCCAGTTAGGAAAAGTCTTAAGAAAGTGGCATAAGCCACTTTTAAACCCAAAATAAATGCTCGTGGACAGCCTGAGCTTATTTTAAACTAGTGCCAGCTCGTGTATAAACTAGCTACTAGTGACCCCAAAGGCAGCTCCAGAGGTGACACTGTCACAARCTGTGCTGGGCTTGGGAATCCTTCCGTGCCTGCTCTGTGCTGGATAGGGCGTGAGGAGGGTTATTGCAGGAAGCCTTAGCTCTGCCATGAGGGAAACAATCCTTCTCCTGCAGAGTTCTCGGCTACATCTTTATTTTGAAAAAGCACTCCTGGTCTTAACGTCTCGTGGAATGGAGGATCATGGAATTTTTAGTGATTTGTCTTTATAAACTTTTCATATTCCATTCTGTTTCTCTTAGTTTCCATTCTCTGACGAATAGTCAGAGAATATAGTGCGAATATAATAGAGAATAGTGCAAACTATTTCAGGACTGGTACTAATATGAGTGTTGTAAATAGTAACCTGCTTTCATACGTGGGTGCAGCCTGCTTTGAATGTTTTTCTTGTTTTTAAAACTGTTCCTTCCTTCGTAGGCTTAGAACGTGGCCTCTTGAAAACCCTCCAGAAACTGGATGAGTATCTGAACTCTCCTCTTCCCGATGAGATAGATGAAAATAGCATGGAGGATATTGCAATTTCTACCCGCAAGTTTCTGGATGGCAATGAGATGACATTAGCAGACTGCAACCTGCTACCGAAACTGCATATTGTCAAGGTAAATGAGCTGTGACGTGTTCCGTGTTCCAGCACGGTCATGAAGTGAAAGGTGCCTATGGTTTATGACATTTGGGTGTCGGTCTCATTTCAGGCAGATGCAAATTCCCAGATAACTGTGTGTATAGTATTAAGCAGACACGGAATTGGGTGAGAGTGGAATCGGGGAGGGTGTGAAGCGGCCGTGGAGCAGGGCAGCAGGTGGTGCAAGCCAAAGCCCGTTTCACTGCCCCGGCAAAACGCTCACGTGGAGTAAGTTGCGACACTTAATGAGGCACTGGAAGGAAAACGAATGTCATATGAGAAGGCAGACACTGAACGTCCACATCTGGAGAGAAGACTGCTCTATTTGTAGCAAAGTAAATAGCACAGTGCAAAATACAAGGATTTAAAAAAACCCAAAACACTAGAAGTCTAGAAATAGGTAGTACAGGATAACTTCAGGAGCGCAGATTTGCCCATGTAGCAGCAGCTTGATTGCTCTTCACCGACTTGCACTATCTTTGTCAGTTCTGTACTGCAGATGGAGCTATAGATTAAGTTAATGCCTTCTTGCAGAGGTATTTACCTCTTATGAGGGCAGCAATACAGACTGAGCAAGACAGCCTGCTGCCAGGCCCAGGCACATCCCAGAGGGGCAGGTTCTGCTGAATTTAGAAGCTTACACTTTGCAAGGATAATATGAGTGATTGGAGTGGACATGGAATGCAAAAGTGGTTTAAGGTGAAGCATATAAACTCATAACCTAATTCATTTGTTTTAGGTGGTGGCCAAAAAATACCGCGACTTCGAGATCCCCAAGAACATGACGGGGATTTGGAGATACCTGACGAATGCGTATAGCAGGGATGAATTCACCAACACCTGTCCTGGAGACAAGGAAATCGAGATCGCTTACAGCGAYGTAGCCAAGAGACTCACTAAGTAACCAGCACTTGCAAAAGAGATGACTTCTTGCATATCCCGTAACAATGCTTCTAACAGACTGCTCTTCTCATATAAGATAGCAATTTTTTTTGCATGAACTTGCAGTTATTCAAAGTTATGGTGGATAGACCAGGTACAGTAATTACCTAAAGTTTGCAGACTTTAATTATAGGCTTGTTTTTCCTTACCTCCTTTCGTAGCAAGTCTGAATATCATTAATGCAGTTATGTTAATATTGCACAGGGGTAACGATTCTTCAGCGTGAAGGGTTGTCCTGCCCCTGCTTTCTTTGCAAACAGTTGGTCCCTGTCTACGAATTGGTCTAGGATCCTCTCTTTCTGTATGGTACAAGGAATATTTATGTATTTTGGAATTTTTCGCTTTTCCAGAAGATTTACACAGAGTTATCATTATCTGTGATGCATTGGACTGTACCTGCTCATCTATGCCATTTACATGTGGAAGGGAGCTTATTATCAAAAAGAGCCATTTGTAGAATATTTGGCAACAGCGCTTAAATTTTCTTGGATTTGAAATCACAGGGATGATTAAGGACGGACCCAAATGGGAAACCTGGATTTGAACAACCTCAGGGCAGTTTRAATCTAGGCCTGAAAGCTACAGTGAGAAGCCAGTTAGTATTTRGCTGCATGTCTTCCAAGAGCTTGATGAGCTCCAAAAACGAAAAAGCAACACCAAAAAATSAACCTCCATTTGTCCCGAATTCAGAGTTGTTGCAGATGAATAATTATCAAGATGCCCTTTTACTTCATGAAACCCAASGAGCAGGATGCTTGCCGCCTGCTCACCTTAAAAATCACAAGTGGTTCTTTTTGGTAGCTAAGAACCTTTGTTTCTGTGTAGTTCTTTCTGGCAATATTTACGTAGAAAAACCTGTACTGTCCTAAATGAAGTACCTGTAAACACTAGTGTTCTAGGTGACAAATGGCTACTGTATGTGGTGAATAGTAGTGCAATGATTAGTTGATGTAAGAACACACACTTACAGCAGTTGAAGGTGGAATCTTTCTAGGAGCTTTTTTAAGCTTTTCTCTTTTTTTTTTTTCCCCTAAAAAAAAAAGCTAAAGTGACCTTTAAAGACAGCATTTGCCTTAACTTACATTATGCATTTTTTTCCTGAGAGGAAACTTTTAGTAACTCTTGTAAAGCAGCGGGGCATGGGAACCTGCTCCTTTGCGTTGGATTGGATCTTGGTTGCTTTTCTGTGTACCTGGACTACGATTTTGCATTGTCATAATCATTGCACTACTATACATAATCTTTTTACAGCAACACTGAGGAATAGCACTACAATTTTTTTAAAAGCAATTTTCAAATATTTCTAAACCAGGGAATAGTTTTCTTGTTTAAAATTAATGATTTTGATGCATGAAATAAACTGCTAGGTTATTTTTTAAAGACCATCACAAGCAACTCCAAAGAATGCTAGACTTATATGCCTATTTTTTTGTAAAGATACTTTTATATTTAACTAATTTTAGAAGCTGGAAAGTGCTATTCCTTGTAGGTTGTTTTGGGAATATTTAACATCCTGCAATAACATGAAAATGCTCACATAAACACTTTTATACACTAATTTTTTTGGTAAGCACTGGCTTTATGAAAAACAGCCCGACTTTTCTAAGCGTTCTGCTTTTGCTACTTTATATACCCATGAGGTTAGCTTGACATATAAGAGGTAAAGATCCATATTTGTATACATGGCTTGTGGTGCCTTGTCTTGCCTTCCTAGAAGTAGAATTCCCATATAAAGGCAATTAGCAGTCCTGTTTACGTGGCTTTCGAAGACAACCATAGATACGTTTAGACCCTGTTACGGTTTATTACGAGTATATAGGCACAGGGAAAAAGAAATTCTGACGAGCAACCCGTTTAGGAAAAGCTTGACTGTAGCCGTTCCATAATTCCTGTATTCCAATGTCACGTTCCTCCTCCCGAATAAAGTTCCTCAGCAGTAATAATCCTCTTCAGAGGTTCAGTCTTTGCTGTAACGTGACATGTAGAAAGAGGAATGGATTCCTCTCTCGATGGATAAAAGCAGTTTTATTCAAACACAGGGTGARGGAAAAACCTCATTGCTCTGGTGCTTTTTGCCCTCGTACGGCCAACCTTTGCAAACAGAAAATAGGAAGCCTTGCAGCCGTGGGCATAGTTTTGGTGGATTTCTAACTCTCTGTTGAAACCTAGGACAGGGTGGCCCTTGGAAGTCGTCTGAGGTTGCAGTAATCAGGTCTCGCTCCTTTTAAAAACAAATTAGCCATTGTTTACACACGTTTCCTAGCCAGCCAGCGTGTGCACAGGGTCAGGAAAATGCTTTCCTGCCGTTCTCTAGCGCGCACTGCCTGCATATCCACGCACACAAAGGCTTACCTTGTTGCGATGCCAGGCTTGGTCTCTTTTATAGATAATATATTCTCTCTATTTTTAGGCAATCTTCAAACAATTGTAATATGTTCTACTCAGCACTGCGCATTTTAATGATTGTGTCTGAAAGCTTGTAAACAAAGTTGAAGCTCTTGCTGCAACTAATGGATTTCTTATCTCCGTACAGTGAAGTATGAAGTGGCGGAGCCTTCCCCGTATGGGTGCCATTCAAATGAGGACCAGGTTAGCAGATTATAAGGTGGTTACCAGGTCCTACGTGAGAGGATTTGGTATCTTCCTGGCTTCCTATCGCACGGCTCAAGTCGTGTTGTAACAGGGGCCGGCCGGCCGCTCRCCGGCTTTCCCGGAGCCAGGAATCTCGTGGACAAGGGACTGGTTTCCCCTCGCTAGGTGATGCCTTGAGCTCAGCAGAGGTGCTGTGGAAAAGGCTCGGCGTCTGGTGTGGGCAGAGCGCTTTCATCTGGCCCCAATCACCAGCGCTACATTAATTAAAGAAAAACCCTTTCATAACTATGTAAATTCTTGAGTTCTGTCAACTTGTTTACAATCTGATCTTTGAATGCATTTTTAATTTCATCAAACAGCAATTAATCTACCCCCTGTTTAAATTTAAAACGAGGCTTCTAGCCCCTTCGACGCTGGAAAAAACAGCAGTTACCCTTTCAAGTAGGCATTCCAGTTTGCGAGCTGCTTGCGTGTGTTAGCATGCTGCCCAACTCGCTTTATTCTCGAGCTGAAAGAAGCAATCCGCATTCAAGCAGGTGACGCGTGCGTCTCGGCACCGTAAAGGGAAAACCTAAAGGGAAAACCCGTCGCCTTGGCCCCGCTCCCGCGTGGGCGCGCGTGCGTGATTCGTCCCTAACAAAGCGCTCCTTCTTGCCGAGGCTGCTGGCGTGCACAGAGCCGCCTGTTCACCGAGAGGCCTGAGAACTTGGGAGACAATTTCACGCGCTCCAGAGCTCCCCTTTGCATCTCCCGTTCGCTGCTGGCCTGCGCCGCCGTCCCGCACGCGCAGCTGCAGCCCTCTAGCTCGAGCGGTTGCATTTTCCCATAAAATCGGTGTTTTTTCCGCAACGGGCATGTCTAAACTGATTGAGTGAGAGTTGCGTGCAATTCCACGATAAGAAGGGAGATATAATCAAGTTTTTATGCTAAAGTAGCAAATTAGCATTTCATATCAAAGGAACACAGACATGAATAAATTGAAGATGCTCGAGCCAAACCCACTGATGCCTATCTCGCTGTACAACAAAAAGTGGCTAAGTACAGTCAACTTTTTATAACTCTTTGCCACTCAGTAGTATCTGAACACATCCAATTAATATTTTTCAGAAGAAAGCTTTATTCYGAGTGGAAAAAATATTTAATCTGCCTCAGAACCTGTGCCACCAGCTATTAGGTTTTGTTTCTGGAGGGTGTCAGGGGGATGGGAGAAGAGTGGAGCAGAGGAACAGAGGGACACTCTCAAGACGGGACCTCTGGAATGGGAGCGTCGTATACAGAAATACTTGAAGAGTTGATACGACTTATTGTAGTTTGCTTATGTCTTTCACTCTCTGGAACGTCTTTTACGGATATACCAGGATACTGCTGGCAGCTATTGTCAAAAATAAAATTATATTTTCACTACCGAGCAGATCTTGCTGTTATTTCTAAAGGCTGCGGTTTGTGTGTGTGTAAGCTCTGACCAGCGTAGAGGGTGCTGGGATATACAGTGACACTTTTTACTAATTATATTTTCAATTTTTGGCTTTTTTTTYTTTTTACCAGAGGCATTGTGACCCAAGGCAGGACATGTGCTGTTTGTTACGTTATAGTGGGCTCATACAATGCTCCTAACAGAAAGGAATAGAATGAGCTGGGGAATTCTACAGAAACTCTTGATTTTTTTTTTCCAGATTTGAAGGGGAAATCTTAAGAACTTGCATTTTACTGGCTTGTTTTTCTCTGAAATTGTAGATTTTTCAAGGTTAAACAGCACTCAAAGTTCTGCTATTGGAGAAATGATTAAAAATGCCGAGAGAAAAATCACATATATTTGGTTGGAGAAATGTGTTTATGCCCAAATAGCCCAATAAAAGTCACCACGGGAGAGCAGAGGTGGAGTTGATGTTCCTAAAGCAGCTGGGAACGACGAGCGTYGCTCTGAGCTCCCCTGCTGTCCTTGGCTTGCCCTGCAAACCCTGCCCCTGCTCCTCGCTTGGGTCTGCTAGCTCTATCCTAGCCCTTGGAAGCAAAGCTACCAGGTCCTCGTTGGAATTTCCTTGGGAATACCCTGAGCGTTATCCCGGCAGCGTTTTCTGTGAGCGCGCGAGCTGCCTCTGATGCTCATGTTCATTTTCCAGGGGCAGTTCGCGGAGCGCGGAAGCCGCTCGTGGCGCCGGCAGCCGGGGCGGCCTTTGCCCGGCACCCTGTTGATGCCAAGAGCCGAGCTGGGCTACGGAGAAGCTCTTCCTGCCCGGAATAGGCAGGAGAATCCGGTGTCGGGTACTCGTTAAATCTGGGTTTGACCTCGCTGCCTTATCCCTGTTCTCAGGGGATATCCAAATAGTCGTGGACTTGAGACCTAACCCCAGGTTTCTCTGTCCCTCTCCAAAACTGTTACCACGCTCTGTAAGGAAAACTAGTTTTCCTTATAGATTAAAACCTGGATTATGGTTTTGGACTGGATTAAAACCTGGGTTATAGTCCGTAGGAGCTGAGAGCAGCCGCTCTCTGCAGCAGCCGCAAGCGCTGGGCGCTGGAGTCACAATTAGGGCGACCGCCTCGTACCTCCCCTGCCCCAAAACTGCCCGCAGGCTTCAGCTGGAGCCTGAAGATTTATTTCCTAGAAATAAATCTGATTTTTGTTCACTTAGTTCCATTGATTTTACCTAGGGCTAACGCATACTTTTCAGAAGATTGATCTTGTCTTGGTTTGTCCCTTCAGCAATTAGTAGACTTTACCGGGATTCCAGGTATTTTCATTAGAAAGAGGCAAAAATACCCTCGTTGCCAAAAGCTGCRATGGTAATTGTGCTGTGGAGACTCCAGAAACAATTTTCTAATTACTTCCTCCACGCAGTTTTCTTGTAAACAGCAGTGAAAAGCAGCAGCTTGCAGGCTGAGGAGACCCTACCAGCGTCTCTGGGGCAGGAATAAAGCAATTTGTCAGAGGGTAGTCGGGATTTTTATGGAAGGGAAAAGCAAGCTGGGCAAACCTTGGGAGATGGAAAGGGAGCTCCTTGGCGGGGTTGCCGCAGGGCTTTTGGACACTCGCTATAAYGAAAGCGAAGTGTGAGCCGAACGTCTGAACGTTTTGGCCGTCTCGGAAAGTCTCCAGGAGAAAGGGTGGATGGGGTGACTCACGGAGCGGGAATACGCCTTGCTGCCGTGCTTCCCAAAGTCCKGCCCGCGGATCCCGGGTGGTCCAAGGGAGCAGGGAGAGCTTTTATGGGCTGCTAGGAAGCGGGATGGTCTCAGCAAGCAGGATGGATGGTTCTGGAAACGTTGGCTGATGTTTCCAGAAATTGGGGAACTGCTGCTCTGGGCTTTACTGAAAAACCATATATGATTTTTCATATATGGTAAAAAGCATATATGATTTTTTCTGCTCTGAATCCTCACCGGAGAAGGAAGATTCTTGACCAAGTGACTAGCTGACACCCAAGTTGGTAGCTCTGGGGGTCTCCTGTGATCAGCAGGTTTCGTAATGAGACTGGAAGCACCCCAGTCTGCACAACAAAGAGCAGAAGGAGCAGGCGCAGCGGYGCCAGCAAAGCCTGAGCGGGGCCTGGGCACCGACGGGTCGCGGTGGCAGCGCTCAGCGGTGACCGGACACCGGAGGAGGGAACGCGGGCGGCGCCGCCAGGTGAATCCGGAGGCCCAAGGAGACCCGGAGCCGTCCGTCTCCCAGCTGCTGTGTGGAAATGAAGAGCTCCGAGCGAGGGAAGCGGCTTCTCTCCCTGCGGATCCGGCTGCGCTTGGGAGCTCTCGGAGCTGGTGCTGGATGGTTTCCAGAGCCGGAAAAAGAGAACTCATGATTCTTGAGTCAAGAGAAGAACTGCTGTGTTCTTACCACTGGACAGAGAGATGAAAACAGTTGCTAAACAAAGATCAAACATGTGAACTTTATAAATAAACAAACAAAATTGATGCTAAGGGACGTCTCAACTCGCTCGCCTGCGGCAAAGGGCTTGGCAGGACCCAGGCGAATGACTTTGTCAGTTTGCACACGGAATTCTTATTTTGAAGAGCCTGATTAAAGTGATACTGCTCTTAATGAGTCTGGAGCCTACGCTGGGTGAAACGGCCCTGGTGCGTGAAGGAGAGAGGAGAATCGGCGCCGAGCCCTGAGCGCCCAACAGGGCCGGCGCGAACGGGGCTGTGATGGGAGAGGAGCTGGTGGGAAGCGGCGGCCCCAGACCCGCTCCCCGGCGGTGCCTTCGGGGCTTCTCTGCACCCCGGGCTCCTCCTTGTCCAGCCGTGACGTGGGGAACTGCCTGGCGTGGGGAGCTGCCGGACACGGGGAGCTGCYGGACACGGGGAGCTGCCGGACACGGGGAGCTGCCGCTGGGTCTGTGTGTGCAGGAAGGGACGGCCCCGGGCACTGCCGCGCGGAGCTGGGAGCACAAACGGCGTCGCTGCCGCCGGGAGCCGGCGCGGGCCAAGGGCGGCCTGGCCGAGGGGACCCAGGGCCGTTTCTCGTCCCCGCCACACGAGCCCTTCCCCTTCCCAGCATCACCCTGGCTGCCTTCAAACGGGAAACGTCTCCTTACGAGATTCCCTGGAAGGTCTGGCCGAGCTCTCCCCCTCTAGCTACCAGCAGGGAAAGGCTCAAAGMGAAGAAGCACCCGGCACAGTGCCTGGTCCCTCGAAGGGCAGGATGTGCCCCTGGAAGCAGGGCCGGCCCCAGACGGTCCCGGCGGGTGCCAAGGGGAGCTGAGGGCTGCGGCGGGCAGGGTGCGCGAGGACGGGCACGTGGGCCCCAGCACGGCCACCTTCCTGCCCTGCTGCGTCCTGCGCTGCTGCTCCTGCACCACGAGCACTGCTCCGTGGTCCCCGCTCCTGCACCGCGAGCACTGCTCCGTGGTCCCCGCTCCTGCACCGCGAGCACTGCTCCGTGGTCCCCGCTCCTGTACCGTGAGCACTGCTCCATATGCCCGCTCCTGCACCGCGAGCACTGCTCCATGGTCCCCGTTCCTGCACCGCGAGCACTGCTCCGTGGTCCCCGCTCCTGCACCACGAGCACTGCTCCATGGTCCCTGCTCCTGCACCACGAGCACTGCTCCATGTCCCTGCTCCTGCACCGCGAGCACTGCTCCATGGTCCCCGCTCCTGTACCGTGAGCACTGCTCCATGTCCCCGCTCCTGCACCACGAGCATTGCTCCATGGTCCCTGCTCCTGCACCGCGAGCACTGCTCCATGGTCCCTGCTCCTGCACCGTGAGCACTGCTCCATGTCCCCGCTCCTGCACCACGAGCATTGCTCCGTGGTCCCCGCTCCTGCACCGCGAGCACTGCTCCATGGTCCCCGCTCCTGCACCGCGAGCACTGCTCCGTGGTCCCCGCTCCTGCACCACGAGCATTGCTCCGTGGTCCCCGCTCCTGCACCGCGAGCACTGCTCCATGGTCCCTGCTCCTGCACCGCGAGCACTGCTCCATGTGCCCGCTCCTGCACCACGAGAGCGGCTCCACGGCCGCTGCTCCTGCACCGCGAGTGTGGCTCTGCGGTGGGGGGCGGCCGCCGCTGCGACGATTCTGCAGCTTTCGCAGCTTCAGCTTCTCCCGTTTGATCTGTGCGGCTTCGTGTGCACCCGGGAGCTCTTGCCTCGGTGCGGCCAAGCACAGCCGAGCTGCAGAGCTCGGGATTGTCCTCTCGCTGCTCACAGCACCGAGCGGATCAGGGACAAACGCGGCCTTGCTGCGGCCAAGCCGGGTCACACCGAGCCAGGTCGCAGGACGCGGGGCAGGCGCCTGCTGAGTTACTGCGGGCTCTGCTCGTCGCCGTGGGTTTAGGTGTGGGCGGCTTCTGCTGCTTCAGCTCCTTCTTGGTTTTAATTTCCCCGGGCAATGCTTCTTATAGGGACTGGGAGTTCCTGGAGTCGGTGCTTTCATTAAGGCAGCGGTTGCTCTTTGTCTCGCTGCCCCCGCTTGCCCGGGAGCGGGGATCGCAGCGGGACCCGCGCCCACGGCGAGGGGCTGCGCTTCGCTCAGGGGCTCTCCTTGTTTTCGGTGCCTTTCCTGGGTTTTGAACCAGTGCAGGAAAGGCGGGTGCAGGAGGGCATGTGGAGTACRCGGCTCTCAGGTGAAT